AAATTATTTTGCAACACTGTCTTACAAAGGGCAAGTGGCTGTGGTCTTTATTTATCCTACATTGTGTGACTGTCCATGTTCTTGCTAAAGAAATGTCCATATGTTTGATGATAAATGCTGCCCTTGGACCCCAGTGGGGTTGAATGCACAGCACATGTGCCATGTTTCTTTGAAATCAAAGAGATTCTAAATTCCAAAGCAAATCTGGCCCCAAGGATTTTGGCTGAGGGATTGTGGATCCAAACCACAGCAAATTGTTTATAGGTGGTACACCCCAACTTTTTTATTGCTTAGGTGTACATGATCTTTATCTGAAAAGATAAGCACGCACAGTTCTAGTTAACTACCTGGTGCATTATTGGACATTTTTCTTCTCACCATACATTTAAAAAAAAGCTCACTTCAATTTTGGACTAGTTTTAGATTTAATAATAAGTTGCACCCTATCTGGTTTGGCTCTGTGGATAGTGCATTGGCCTGCGGACTGAAGGGTTCCAGGTTCAATTCTGGGCAATGGTATATGCCCAGGTTTTGGGCTTGATCCCCCAGTAGGGGGCGTGAGGAGGCAGCCGATCAGTGATTCTCATCATTGATGTTTCTCTCCTTTCCTCTCTGAAATCAATTTATATATATATATATTAAAAAGTTGCAAAAATACTAGAGAGTTCTCATCTACCCTTCTTTACCCAGCTTCCCCTAATGTTACCGCCTTACATAACTAAGGTACATTTGTCAAAACTGAGACATTAACATTGGGTACAATACTATTGACTAAATTATAGACATTATTTAGACTTCCTCAGTTTTTCACTGATGTCCTTTTTCTGTTACAGGATCCCACATGGGCATTTAGTTGTCATGTCTCCTTGATCTCCTTGTCTGTGATAGTTTCTCAGTCTTTCCTTATTTTTCACAACCTTAAGGAATGAAAAATAAGCTTTGAGGAATATTGGTCAGGTTGTGACAACACAGATGGACCTTGAAGGCATTATGCTACGTGAAATAAGCCAGACAGAGAAGGACAAATACTGTATGATCTCACTTAGACGTGGAGCAGGGGGAACTGGAGGAAGGGGATCAAAAGGGACACACTTCTAGTTATGAGGCAAGTCAGTCCCAGGGATGTAAGGTACAGCATGGCAACTATGGCCAGCACTGCTGTGTGGTGCATAGGGAAGTTGTTAAGAGAGTAATTCCTAAGAGTTCTCATCCCGGGGTGAAACCATTTTGTCTTTTCTTTTTATTGTATCTATGTGAGATGATGGATGTTAACTAAACCTGTTGTGGTAATCATTTCACAACATCTGTAAATCAAACCATCATGCTATATGCCTTAAACTTATACAGTGATATATGTCAGTTTTTTTCTTGAAAACAATTGGGAATAAAAATAATACTGGTCAGATATTTTGTAGTAGACTTTTCAGGCATTTGTTTGCTCATTTAAATTATTGTTTGTAAGCTTTTTAAAATGAAATTTCTAATTTTGAAGTCATGGTGGATTAACATGCATTGTATAAAATAACACAGAGAGACCTGCATATCGTTTACTCAGTTTTCCTCAGTGGTAACATCTTGAAATCTGTAGTCCAATATCACAACCAGGATATTGCCATTGATACAGTCAAGGTACAGAGCATTCCCATCACCACAAGGACCCGTCATCCAGCCCAACTCTCTTGTACCTGTTTGGTTCAGCTCATGCTGATTGAGGTCTCCTGTGGGTCAGGCTCTGCTCAGGCCCTGGGAGACAGAGGTTAGCTTAGCTTCCGGGAAACAGACATGAACAAGGAGACACATGTGCAGAAGATAGAATGTCAGCTAGTAAGTGCTGTGAACTAACATCAAAAGACTAAGGACTCAGAGAAAGAAGGAAATTCAGAATTCTAGCTTCTCTTGAAAATTGAGAGCTTGGTCACATTGGGCCAGATTTCCCGCTTAGCACAGTAGGTGTTGTTTGTCTCCCCACTACCCCCCCCCCTTTATTCTGTTATTCTGTTGTATTGCATTGATTGACTTTTGTATGGTGAACCATTCTTGCATTCTGGGAATAAATGCCACTTGGTCACGGTGTACAATTTTAGCTTAATATGCTGCTGAACTCAGTGTGCCAGTATTTTGTTTACGATTTTGTATCAATATTCATAGGATGTATTGGTCTGTAGTTTTCTTGGTATCAGGGTTATGCTAGCCTCATAGAATGAGTTAGGAAGTGTTCCCTCCTCATCAATTTTTTTGGAGAGTTTGAGAATGATTGGGGTTAATTCTTTAAATGTTTCGTAGAATTAACCAGTAAAGTCATTTTTGTTGAGATTATTACAGATGTCCCTCTTCCCCCTCCTCCCATTGTCCCTTCCATCCAGTTCCATCCCTCCCCAGGCTTTCGCTACCCTATTGTCTGTGTCCATAGGTAATGCATATATGCATATATGATCTTTGTTTAATCTCTTCCTGCCCCTCCCCCTTCCCTCTGAGAATTGTCAGTCTGTTCTATTTCCATGCCTCTGATTCTATTTTATTCACCAGTTTATTCTGTTCATTAGATTTCTTATTTGTTTATTTTGATTTTTGGATTCAATTGTTGATAGGTATGTATTTGTTGCCATTTTGTTGTTCATTTTTTTTTTCTTTTTCTTCTTCTTCCTCTTCTTAAAGAATACCCTTCAACATTTCATACAATACTGGTTTGGGGTGATGAACTCCTTTAGCTTTTTCTTGTCTGTGAAGCTCTTTATCTGACCTTCAACTCTAAATGATAGCTTTGATGGGTAGTGTAATCTTGGTTGTAGGTTCTTGCTATTCATCACTTGAAATATTTCTTGCCACTCCCTTCTGGCCTGCATAGTTTCTGTTAAAAAATCAGCTGACAGTCGTATGGGCATTCCCTTGTAGGTAACTAACTGCTTTTCTCTTGCTGCTTTTAAGATTATCTCCTTGTCTTTAGCCCTTGGCATTTTAATTATGATGTGTCTTGGTGTGGTCCTCTTTGGGTTCCTCTTGTTTGGGACACTCTGTGTTTCTTGGACTTGTAAGTCTATTTCTTTCACCAGGCAGGGGAAGTTTTCTGTTATTATTTCTTCAAATAGGTTTTCAATATCTTTCTCTTCTTCTGGCACCCCCATAATAAGAATGTTGGTACAGTTAAAGTTGTCCCAGAGGTTCCTTACACTATCTTCATATTTTTGGATTCTTATTTCTTTTTGCTCTTCTAATTGAGTGTGTTTTTTTTTTGCTTCCTCATATTTCAAATTGTTGATTTGATTCTTGGAATCCTCTACTCTACTGTTGAATCCCTATATATTATTCTTTATTTCAGTCAGTGTATGCTTAATTTCTGACTGGTCCTTTTCCATTTTTTTTTGGCATTCTCACTAAGATCCTTGAAAGTCTCACTAAGTTCCTTGGAGGTTTCTAGAAGATTTTTGAGAAACCTTATAACTGTGGTTTTGAACTCTATATCCAGTAGTTTGCTTTTTTCCATTTCTTTCACTTGTGACATGTTTCTTTGTCTCTGTATTTTGACTGCTTCCCTGTGTTTGTTTCTATGTATTGGGTAGAGCTGCTATGTTTCCTTGAGTTATAGAGTGGCCTTGCGTGGTAGGTGTTCTATAGGGCCCAGTGGCTCAGCTTCCCCAGTCACCTGAGCTGGGAGCTCTGGGTGTACCCCTTTGTGAGCTCTGAGTGCAATCTTGTTGTAGAGGAGACTTGATTGCTGTTGGTGTCCCTGGGAGAAATTGACTTCCAGCCCAATTGGCTGCGAGGACCAGCTGTGACTACAGTGGGAGAGCTGCTATGCAGGAGACACCCCTATGTAGCAAGACTTGCTTAAATGGGGCTTTGTTGCTCACTGAATTTGCCCCTTGAGTGTGTCACTTATGAGTGTGTAGAACTGTAATCTAGTATGGTCTGAGACTGACCAGTGGGTACACTGGCTCTTGGGTGTCCAGGAAGGTGCAAAGTCAGCCACTGCCTGAGGCCACCCAGCAGGAGCTTCAGAGAGATTTGCAGATTCTTCCTCTTTGTATAGAGTTTGGAAGTGCCCAGATGAGGCCCAGCTATGAAGCAAGGCATGCTGGTTCTGATGCTGGGTCTTATGCCGTTTATTGATAGGTTTGGGGCTCCCTGACCCAGCTGAAGCTTGTTTGAGAGAGTTTAGCCTGAGCAAGGACAGGCCATTAATATGCAAAAACTGCTGCATGAAGCTTAGGTGGAGTTGTAAATTGGATGAGGTGAGGTCTTAGGGAGTCACCGGGGTGGAGCAAACAGAAATGGTTGCCAGTCATCCCTGAGACTGAGGAGGTCCCAGCACAGGAACAGTGATCCCTGTGAGCATCTCTGTCTGGGAGAAAGCTGTCCCCGAGTTCCTGCCCCGATGCCAGACAATCTAGTTCCTCCTTCTGTGTGTCTGTGTTCCCCAGAGCTTTGCCCTAGTGCTGGTGCTCAGAGGAAGCAGGAGTTTGTAAGTTCAGTTCATGGTGCCGGCCTTTTAAGAGGAACAGCTGAATCTCCAGCAGCCTCTGTGTCACTGAGCCCCAATCTGCACTGGTTTTTACAGCTTGTAGTTCTTACTGCCTGTAGGGACTTCTTTTCCCAGCTCTGGAACTCTGGGCTGGGGATCTGGTGTGGGTCTGGGACCCCTTGCTCCTCTGGGCAGCCTCTGCAGAGACGATCTCCCTCCTCATTAAAAAAGCGGCCCACATAGGTACTGGACCAGCCTGTTCCATGCTGCCACACCTCCTACCAGTTTCAGTGTGCTTTCTTTTTTACTTATCTAGCTGTAGGACTTCCATTCAGCCAGTTTTCCAGTGGTTCTGTATGATGGTTGTTCTGTATTGTAGTTGTAATTTTGATGTCACTGTGGGAGGCGGCAAGTAAAGGTATTTACCTATGCTGCCATCTTGGTTCCCCTTCCTTCCCTGGATCTGATGGGAGGCTTTTGAGTAATGATTCAATTTCCTTATTTGTTACAGATTTTCTCAGCTTTCCTATTCCTTTATGGGTCAGTTTTGGCAAATTGTGTGTTTGGCATTTGCTCATATCAACCATGACCATTTTTAAACAAAATAGTGACTTTGGCAAAATAGTGACTTTTGTCTATTTGATTTTGGTTACTTTTTTGTCTAAGCATGAAAAATCTCATTTTAAACTGATAAGAACAGATACTACACTTGATCTTAGCCAAAAGGCCGAGAAGCGATAAAATCTCATTTTAAATAGCATATTATTTCTTTACAAAGTAAAGTATCAAGGAACATGAGGGTTTTGCTTGTTATTATTATTGATGTATATTCTATTTTTGTAAAATATTTAATAAAATATTTTACTGTGTGTCTTCTGACCCATTAAAAGTGGGAAAGTATATACAAGATTATCAGGCTACAGTTGCCAAATGGAAGAGGGGTTGGTGAGACAGGTGAAAAAGGGAAGGGATTAAGATGTACAAATTGCTGGTTATAAAAACAGTCACGGGGATATAAAGTACAGCATAGGGCATACAGGCAATAATATTGTAATAACCATGTATGGTGTCAGGTAGGTACTGGACATCATGGTGATCATGTTGTAAGTTATATAAATGTCTAATCACTATGTTGTATACCTGAAACTAATATATTGTCTGTTAATTGTAGAAAAATTAAAAAGAGGACTATGAGGCTATATAAAAACATTTTCAACATACTAGTTACTTACAGTTTAGTTAGAGGGATTCTATGGAATTTTGATAAGTTTTCATTATCAATTGACAATTATCCTCACTCTTGTAAAATGAATTTGCTTTTATATGGTCTTTAGTCCATTTAATTGGTACAACAGAATGAGCTGTATTAGGCTCAAGTTTAAATTTCTCCAGTTTCTTTTCAGCAACTGGTTCAGAGCCCACAGAAGCAACCCCCATCTCTGTGGTGCGAGAGCTCTGTGACTGCCTCTGACTCCCAGGGTGGGTGTTTTCTGGTGGAGAGTCATTCATTCAACAGTTATTTATTTTTTTTTAAATATATTTTATTGATTTTTCACAGACAGGAAGGGAGAGAGATAGAGAGAGTTAGAAACATCAATGAGAGAGAAACATCGATCAGCTGCCTCTTGCACATCCCCCACCGGGGATGTGCCCGCAACCCAGGTACATGCCCTTGACCGGAATCGAACCCGGGACCTCTCAGTCCGCAGGCCGACGCTCTATCCACTGAGCCAAACCGGTTTCGGCCATTCAACAGCTCTTTATTGAGCACCTGCCATGTGCCAAACACTGTTGTAACCATCAATATTTCAATGACACAAAATGCAGAAGCAATCAAAGCAGACCACTTCCTGTGTGTTGGGAGAACCAAATGAAAAGGCAGCTGCTCCTCAGAAAGAAGAGGATTCTGCAGTTCAGACTGGAGAACCTTTCATCCTGTCCCTATAATGGAGCGACCCAGTCCCAGGCATGGTATTGTCTGGGGCTGAGTTGGTCCTTACGTCGGAGGTGTGAGCAGTCCCCTTTAAGGAGAGGGGGATTGTGATGAAACATTAGGCAAATTTGGGCTGGGCCTTGGAACTCTTTCAAAATTATATGTGAAAGGTGATATTCTCTCTTCAGAGGAAATTATGGCAAAATGGTATCTAATCATTTCATTGCAATAGTAGATTGGACTCAAACTTCTAATGCAGGGAGAGAGATGAGAGAAGAGTTGACGTTTGAATTAATTCTGAGTATTTCTGCTGGAAGCGAGGAGCTGGTGATGGTTTGGATTAAAATAGTAATTTCCAAGCCATAGGCCTTTCAACAGCAGCCAACTGGTTCTTACCACAAATGGGGAACCAGTTCTGTTAGAATGTACCTTAGTATTGCATGTTACTCAGACACCACGAGAAGCTGACTGGTGTGTAACTTGCAAGCTCCTCTAATTTTGAAAAACACCCTCCCCAAGGAATTGGAGTAAATCTGGCCAGTGGCTTCCTAACAGCGAGTCAGACATGTGTCAGGAAAATCATTCTAACAGACCATCATGTCCACGGTCAAAGGTTGTGCCTTTACCTCTTGAGTTACATTTTCATTGAGAGGACAGCATTGAACTGTGCAGGTGCTGTCGCTTCAAAGGGCCCTTAGGGCTCTCCACACACGATTGAATTTCTTAGGACATCCTTAGATAGAGTGAGATTGATATCCCCGAGTGCTGAAATTGTTCACTTTTCCGGCCCCTGCTGAGTTGTGACCGAAAGTCCCCGGCAGTTTAACTGAGGTGCTTTATTCATCTGCAGACTGGAAGCCCAGGATTGGAAATTTAACACGATATAAATAATTAAGTCCCAGCTTCCACAGGTGCAGAGGGCATAAATAATCCAACTGCATGCTGCCCGAGCATTCCATATCGTGGGCCATTTAGATTTAATGCCCAGGCACTCACTCGTAACTGAATATGTCAGAACGCAGCTCCTGCCCGGGACAGGAGAAGGGTGCTATTTCAGAGCCGTGTGCTCGCCTGTCTGCTGGAGAGCTGCCTCTGCCCTCGGCCTCTTCTGAAGACCCTTTACTGGCTGGGTCTCCAGGGAAATTCATCTGTCTTCTTGCCCAGCACTAAAGACCGGGATCTATATCCAATTCTTCTTGTGGTTAAATGAAGGAGGTGATTGATATATGGAAGGGCAACCCAAGAAAATCACTCATTTAATTGGAGGCATTTGGGGAAAGATGATGAGTTCACTGGTGGGGGTGGACCTTGAACACTTTATTCTCAGAGTCAGGCATTTGAACCTGAGCCCATTCGAACACTTGGGAGTGGCTGAAAGGTGGTGTCCTTTTTCTGCTTCAGCAGCAGATCCCATGAAGGGCACTCAATCCATTTTCTGGTGACCAGAGGTGAAAGAACACAGCTACTCATTCAAATTATGTCTGCATCACTGACATGGCTTTGCACGTGGTCGAGACTGAATACGTTTGATAAATGAGCAACTGAAAGAACAGATGCATCATGAGGCTTTGTTCAGCTTCCTAGTCATGGTCTTGTCAGATCTGGTGCCACTCACGGGGAGGTCCCCGACCAGCTGCATCCGCTGGGAGTTGGTTAGGGATGAAGAACCTCTGGCCCTGTTCCAGATCTGGGTGGGCCCAGGAATCTGTAACAAACCCTCCAGCGATTCTGATGCCTACTGAAGTTTAGCACCACTGGCTTCAAACAGGGATGTGATTTAAGAATCTTATACCTACTTCCTCTCTCTCAGTAGAAAAGTCTCCACAGCTGGTTGCAAGAGAATCCCATCTTAAATCCCTTCATGCACATGTTTCTCCCCTCCCCAAGCTTCTCACTCAGTCCTCTAGCGTTTGTCTTATGTGTCCAGATTCTCTGCTCAGTCTCTTCTGGGAAAATAGAGATGGGGTGGGGTGGTGGGTGGAAGGCACATTTCCATTTGCTGTCATGTCAGACACTTTCTGGATGCCAACAGGGTGCTCCAGTCCCTGTCCCCAGGACCTCGGCGCTCTGAGGGAGGCAGACAGGGAGGTGATGAGTGCTGGGCCTGGTGAAGGTGTCACTCACTGGGCTGTGTCCCTGGGAGCACCCCGATGGGCTGAGCTCAGACCTGCACTGGGTGGGGTCAAAGAGCCTTCCTAGAGAGGTGCTGCAGGGCCACCTCTTACAGGATAAGTCGGGTGGCAGCAGGTGCATGGAGGGAGGGACAGGAGGGGCTTTCGGGTGGAAGGGGCAGCATTGCTGAAAGGACACGCTACAGAGAACTTGATGCAGGTTTGGGGACTCAGTACTTACTCGCCATTTTACTTTCGAAATCGAATTATACCCTACATATAGTGAAATGGACAACTTTTAGGTTTGCAGCTCAGTGAATTTTTAAATTTGACCTCACTCTTGCAACCATCACCCAGATCAAAATATGGGACATTTCCAGTTGCTTGAAAGGCACCCTGTACACATTTCTTCTAGTTTATTGGGGTGACATTGGTTAATAAAATTCTGTAGGTTTCAGGTGTACATTCTATAAGACATCATTTACATATTGTATTGGGTGCTCACCACCCCAAGTCAAGTCTCCTTCCATCACCATTTATCCTCCCTTTACCCTCTTCTACCTGCTCCCACCTCTCTTTCCCTCCGGTAGTCACTATAGGTTCTATTGTTTTGTTTTGCTTCTTGGGGACTTTTTTTAGACTATAAACTTCTTGAGAAAAAAATTTATTTTGGTAGCTAAAGGTCGCTAACAGGCTGAATATGGCTCCAAATTATGTAGTTATTATTTTCTTATTATTTTTAGAGAGGTAGAGAAGAGGGTGGGGAGAGAGAAAGAAATAATGATTTGTTGTTCCACTTACTTATGTATTCATTGTTTGATTCAGGTATGTGTCCTGATCAAGGATCATACTTGAAAACTTGGTGCATTGGGATGACACTCTAACCAACTGAGCTACCTGGCCAACGCCTAACTATGTATTTTGGTTTTAACTCATTGCTATTATTTAAAAATTGGGGGATTTCCCATGAGAATCAAAAGATCTGGCAACACTGGGCTCATGTACCTTGGTGGCTGCAGCTGGGTAGGGACTGTCCCCATAAAGTTGGAACATCTATTCGTTGCTCATCACTTATCTGCTTATCGCTCACTCCTGGCCAGCTACACTTCTGTTACCTGCCTGGCTCTGTGGGCATCTAAGTTTGTAATCCCTGCCTTTAAGTATTGTTTTGTGTTTTGGTTTGTGGCCTCCAGCATGGCTGAGGGTGCTTAATACTTTTTATTTGTTCACTCATCAGTATGTATGGAGCACTGACCATAAGCGAGGTACTCGCCAGATGTTGGGAACACAGAGATATTCAGGGGCAGAAAGACAACACGTTTATTAGCTTGCCATGCAGCTAACCACCCCCCCACCCCGCGCCCCCATGTGTGGCACTTCCTGTCTGCGAGTTCACTTCTCGCTACCCCCATGGATGCCACCCGTGCTGGCTGTTTCCTGATCTCTGAGCCCACCTGTTCCTTATAACAGTCATACTTCTGTTGTCACCTTCCTCACCTTTGTTTCCTCCCTTTCTGGCCCTCACCCGAACCAGAACCTTTTGCTCAAGTCCCACCTCTTCTGAGAAGTCTTCACTGAGCATCCCTTTCTCTTGGGACCTCCCTCCTCTGAACGCCTATCAGCATATTTCCCGCCACCAGCAATCCATTCTGTCCTTACTCCCTCAGGTTAAAAAAGAAAAGGCCCTTGCTTAAG